GAAATCAAACATCGCACTGCTGTGCACATCGATTCTGCACTTTAATTCTGATCTTCCGTGAGAAGTATTTTTATGTCCATTTTAAAAGTGAGAAAAACCAAGAATTTTAAAGCTGAATCTTCTTCAAAGGTGAACTCCAAAGCTAAAATGAAAGTTGAATCAAGTCCAGAAATATGGTCAGATGTTGCTTAAGTTATATACGAGATTTTCCACAGAGAAATAAGCAGTAACTGGATCTATTTTGGGCTATGTACAATTCTGAAGTGCTGCCTATTGTGTTATAGGGTATTGCTCTTGCCTGCTAGAATATGCTAGTCTATGCAGATGAACTAAATCATAATCTATGTTGAAAAGTCCTTCACATATCAGGATCAGAGTGAAATTCTGTGTAGCGGGATGAGTAAAGTCTATTTGTGCATCTTACATTGATGAGAAAAGCTTACCTCAAATGCTGAAGTCATTTACACCAGTAATCCTTTCCTTTCCATAACAAAGTCCTTTACGATCCACTAGATTGAAAGCTTTTACAGAAATATGTAAGGCACTGGAAGGTAATGCATGTTATAGATGCATCTAAAGTAAATAACAGAAATGGTCACGTGTTCCCAGATTACCTCCTTTGAATCTCTCCTCTCGTGTGTTTTTTAATCGGGTCGTGATCAGTAATTCTTTCTCCTTCAGCACCTGTCTATTTATCTGTTCTTTTACAGGGAAATCTGGGCTCGGTTTTTAGCTTTTGAAAGTAACATTGGTGATCTAGCTAGTATACTGAAAGTTGAAAAACGGAGGTTTACGGCATTCAAGGAAGAATATGAGGGTAAAGAAACAGCTCTGCTGGTAGACAGGTATAAGTTCATGGATTTGTACCCTTGCTCTGCTAGCGAACTGAAGGCCCTTGGTTATAAGGTAGGTGGCTAAGAACACAATTTTACTGTTACTCTTTTCAGTCCTAGCAAACTTAAGCAATTCCTTGTTTAGGACTCACCTTACGCTTTTTTCCCTTGATAGAAAAGCAGGTCGGACAGGCCTGGCATGCCTCCTCCTTGTTGTCTTGGTGGGCAGCAAAGTGCCAGGCATTGTGGGCCGAGGGCAGAAAGGAGCAAAGGAACATGCCTAACAGATGCAACTTCATGTATTCAGATTTACCTCTCATCTCCTCATGGAAAGGTCGATGTGTTAATGCCATCGCCGCTCAGCTACAGGCCTCCACTTCAGACTTAAACCTGAGCTCCTTCAAAACCAAAATTCGTTTGGAAGTTTGTAGAATCAGGTCAACTGTATGAAACGTCGCTGGCTGCCCCGCCGCTCCAGTTGGCAAAACTCCGCTGACTTCATTGAGAACCGTATCAAAGCAAACATGCTGCAGTCCCAATGATCGCTGCAAATGGCTGAGGAAAACTATCTGTAGAGATCAGTGGCTGCCTGGGTTTTTTTCAGTTGTTTATTATGGCTAAAGTGCTTTGGCGCTGCTATTCAGAATTTAAAGTCTAGGCCAGACACCTGTATCTGGTGGTTTCCCATCTCGTTTCTGACCACATGTATTTTAACTACTATTTTAGTCATGTGGAAGGCCGTAACACTTTGGAAAACCATTAGAACAGAACAAAATGTTTTGTTTTGTTTTGTTTTTTAAGCGCGGTGTAAAATAGGCTGCCAGAGAAGCAGAATGTTTTTTAAGCGTGGTGTAAAATAGGCTGCCAGAGAAGCAGAAGCAGCTCTGTTGGAGGAACTGCTGTTTCCCATTTGCATGAACAGGAAGAGAGCCTTCAATTCATGTCTCAAAAATAGTGCCTCAGCTTCCATTTATTTCTTACACAGAGAAGTAATTTTTGAAAAATACAGAAGTCATCAAAGTTAGCAAAGCAGCCGAATTGTTGGTCTTCACACAGTTGTAAAATAACGCGATAGGTGGAAATAAGACTCACATTCAGCCACTGAATACTTTTAACGTAATCGGGACAAAGTTATTTTGAAGTTACAGGTGTGCTTACAAGAGAGTACATCTTGATAAATGCACGCGAGGTGGTGTGTACCTAAGATGATTCAGCCCTTGGGCAGATTTCTGTTGCTTTTAACATGCCAAAATGTAATCCTGTTTGAACTGATGCTTTGCATGCCTGCTGCCTGCCTTATGCTTTATTTCTTTTCCAGCTAATGCAATCTAGGGAATGAAATGAGGGGGAAATGATAGTTGTGAAGCCCTAGTGGTCTGCACCTGTTCACCTAAATCTTTTTAACCTAAAAAAAGGAGCCACTCAAAAATGACAAATACGGTCCCATTCGGGAACAAAAACAAGTGTTTCCACTCCCAGCTGGGACATTGTAGGACCAAAATGCTTGATGAAAACATGCAAGCTTTGCCCAGATGGTCTTCTAAGAGGATATCTGAAATTATAATGACGACACAGTGAGAATAAGCGACTGGTCTAGAGAGATGTTTTGTTCTGTAATTTGAACAAGCAATGTGATCCTGCCAAGTTCAGTGCTCTCTAATTGGCTTTCGCAGGACGTCTCCCGTGCCAAGCTGGCAGCTATAATTCCAGACCCTGTGGTTGCACCTTCCATCGTGCCTGTTCTCAAAGATGAAGTAGACAGAAAACCTGAATATCCAAAACCGGACACTCAACAAATGATTCCATTTCAGCCAAGACACTTGGCACGTAAGTCAGATGTTCAGTCGGAAGTGGTTATATTTCACCTGGCGGCAAGCTATTAACCTGTGTGTTTAGCAAACCTAATCACAGAGGCTTTCCTAGCCTTCAGTCATCTAAACATGTACTTAGATTTTAGGCTGTTATTTAATTGGATTGCTAAAGGCATATATATTTTACGTAATACTAAGGTCACACGGACATAAGTACAAGTAGTTTGGGGTCTGGTAAATGGTAATAAGCTGTTATACACACTGCTCATAGACTTCAGATTGCTGACTAAACAATATGTAATGAGCAGAGGCAAAAGTGACAGGGTAGTAATTATTTGCATCAAATAATAATGCTGCAAAAGCAATTCAAGTCTAGCTGTCTTGCACTGGCTTCATGCACTTTTTCTTCCCGCAGCTCCAGGTTTACATCCTGTCCCAGGCGGTGTATTTCCTGTTCCACCAGCAGCTGTAGTTCTCATGAAGCTCCTGCCACCTCCTGTCTGTTTTCAGGTTTGTTTTAATGAATTCTGAGAACTGCAAAAAGTTGTAGAGATTCTGTTCTGACACAACCACAGTATGTCTCACTCTATTGAAAATAATCTTCTAATCTTTTTTTTTTGGGGGTAACAAATCAGGGTCCCTTTGTTCAAGTGGATGAGCTCATGGAGATATTTAGAAGATGCAAACTGCCAGACAGTAAGTTATTTGTTTTCTCTGGAGCCTGTGATAGTGCTGCATATGACTTTGTTTTACATATGGATATGGCTGTCTAAAATCCAGACCTCATTTACAGATGTGTAATTATTATTTAAGAGTATACTGTTGAATTGGCTGCCTTTGTAGGTTGCAATCTACATAGAGATGTTTGTACGTTTAACCGTGGGGAGATCAACAAAAAGTCAAAAAGCTGGAAATCACCAGCTGCTACTTCAATAACATTTTGGTGGTAACCGTTAAAACAAAGAAATGAACATTTTCAGAATATCCTTGAAAAGAAGCAAGGCATTATTTCTAGCAGCACTGTAACATTAAATTACAAATTTGCAGTACGGTAAGTTCATCGGTAGGCATAACTCTGAATGCACATTGTTGCAGTGCTTGAGAACAATTCAAGAGCAGTGTTTTCTGAGCTCCTACAAAGAAGGTAGAGTTCTGAAATATAAAAACAGGACAGATCCGTACTCCAGGCTTCACGTAAACTACGGCAGATGATAGTATGCTACGTTGCACCCCCTCTGTTAGTTTAAGGAGCAAATGATCAGAGAGAAAGCAAGCTAGGATTTAATTTCTTTTAGAATGAAAATAAAACATTGTGAAAAATCTACATGGTATTTTTGAAGTTTTCTCTGTTGATAAGCAGAAACTGACTTGCTATGCATACTTTCTGATGAATCACGAACTAGCTATACCGTCTCCCCAACCGGCTTTCCTGTTTTATTAAGCTTGCAAATGACCTCGGTGCTCGTGTAAAGGGAGCAGCATTTACTTTATAATTAGTGTTTGCCATAGCTCGGAGTTTTAGACAGTCGAGACTTAATTCTTAACATTTGTAGGAGAATAGGGTAGGAAAGCGTCTCATGTTCCAGAAATCTCCACAATGTATCTATCTTGGTGTCCCTGTTTGCATGCTTATTTCTAATCAGGGAATTTAGTTTCACAAATTAATTTAATCTTTTTGTCTTTCTAAAGCTGTTGATGAAGCTGTACGAATAATTACCGGAGGCCTACCTGAAATAGCTGTGGAAGGCAATGGACCTGTGGAAAATAACGCTATGCTCAATAAGGCTGTTAAGAGACCACATGAAGATTCTGACGACGATGAGGAGAAAGGATCTGTAGTTCCCCCTGTACACGACATTTACAGAGCACGACAGCAAAAGAGAATCCGGTGAAACAAGTTTGGAGTTCTACTGTGATAGACAAAGACTTGCATTGAGTCCATCAGTCTCTTAAAAGTCAAGCATTTAAAAGGGACAGCTGCAAACAAAAAAAATCTTGAAAATGGTTTTGTTACTGTGGTGCCTCTTCTCCCATATGGTTCTTGATCCAAAAACAGCCAGAACAACCTTAGAATGTGTTCTGAACGAAACTAGGTTGTCAAAACTGCATTTTGTTCTTCAAGGCTGTTCACATCTACCACTTGAAATCTTGTGGGTTTTCAACAGTTTTATTTTAAAAACTGGATGGCTTATACTTGTGAAGCATTTTTAATTCACATTTTCTGGAAAACAGTTGTTCTCAGTTTGTTCATGTAGTGTTCCTGCCTTATTGTTCGTTTTTATTTATGGCAGAATGTATGGAATCTGTTTTGTAGTTGAAAATGGAAAAAAACATTCCTTTAAAATAAAAGGATATCCATAACATCATGCCTCATTCTGGTTTTATTCAAACACAACAAGTTACTTCTTAAATATTACTCAGCCACTTCAAAAGCAATGTTAATAAGACCATCACAGGAAATTGATCAGAGCATACATATTAGAATTAGCTTTTTTTCCATTTTTCTAGAGGATACAGTATACTTTTGCTTGTAATTCCATGACTGTTTAAAGAAGACAGCATCGTAAGACAAACTCGGTACATATATCTAATGTGGATTGTCCAGGAGTACTAGCTAACACAATCTGTTCCTGGATAACTGCATTGGTCTTCCACTTACTTAATGTACAAAGCTAAATGTTAATATATTAGCTACATAGTTTAACCTGTTATTTTCAAACAAGCTAACGAAAACACTGTATGAACTTTCGAAGCAGTTTCTATGCATACTTTAGATTTTAACTTGCCACTGACTACTCAGAATTGCACTCTGATAAGACCGTAAGAAACCCCTCGCCCCGGACCACAGGAACTTCAGATACTCGGACAACTTGAAAAACATTCCCGCCGCCAGCAGTATAGATGACTGTAGGCCAGTGCTGTATCTACCAGACTAAAAGGTGAAACAGCGTATGTGTAACCACATAAATGTTCACGTGGAGGTAGGGTCTGGCCTTATCAATCCTAGAATTTCTGTTTTGCTTTGCCACTTAATTGTATCTCCCTGTTTCTTTTAAAGAGGATGTAGAGAAACTATTTGTCAACCACCAGCATTAAAAAAACAACCTGGGAAAATCACTAACATGACTTGCACTTGTGGGCACTTATCACAGTCTCTTCAGATCTTTACTGCTGAAAGGCCTACAGCACCCACCCACGGAGGCACTCCTTCCCACAGCATGTACCCCCCAAAGGTGAGATCCCAGCCAGATGCGGGTACTGCGCTTTTTTCTACGTGAAGCCTTGGGATCAAACCCCTACTGCGAGGAGAGATGGGACTTACTGTGTCGACCCTGCGAGCACTACGCATGCACTAGTGGCAGGACAATCCATGCTTCAATGTCAGAGTAAGCAGGAGTTGGCCGTCACGGACTTCTGGACCCTGAATTCCAGAACTGGGAGCAGCCATCTCCTAGATTAAGCAAGTACAATTTTATCTGTTGATAATGCAGTCCCATTCATTCTGGCACCACTCCCATACTTTTCAAAGCCTTTTCCAAGTGTGGTGTTTCCCCATGATGTTGTTCCTCCCCACATCCTTGAGATCATCCCCTACAGCATCTAAATTTTTGTAGTATGCATAGTTCACAGGGGCCTTTAAAGGCAGCTTCTAGGCAATACTAAAATATAAAATAACAGCAGCAATTTATAACTTCTGCAACTCTCATTTAACAAAAACGACCACAGCTTTGTCTTGGGTTTGTTTTTTTTTTTCCTATCTCTAGCAATAATGTTTCTGGCAGCTCTCTTGTTACGCAGACTACTGAATTAATTTTTTGGAGCTGCAGAGCTATAGGCTGTATTTTGAGGTGGCTCCTGCACTAATAACAAAGTACAGTAAGCAGATGCAGCAATCTTGAAGACCTCTGTAGTATCCTTTGCTGATTCAAACAATTAAATAGACCACACCAAAAACCTACTCAGAACTTTTTTTCTGGCTAACCAACCTACTCATTTTTGAGTTATCAAAGAAAGATTCAGAGAGAGACATCCATTTTACTATCTGAGTACACTTAGCCGAGAGAAAAATCACTTGTCTGAGCTGGTGATCTCTTCCAGGGTTTTGGTGGGGTTTTTTCCCTTGGGGAAGGGGGTTTGTAATGAATGAGAAAAGATTTATTTTATAGTTGCATAGGCTAATACAGAATAAAAGGTCTTACTTATCCCACCTTCCTCCAAACTCAAAGTTAGTGCAGCTATAGCCACACTGACATTTAAAGGAAAACAGGAAAGGGAAGCATCAACACTGATTCATAATCAAGTGCTTCCTTCGAGAAGTTTTATTAATCTATCAGTCAACCAAAATAATAGAAAGAACCTGGATGTTAGCAATAAAAGGGCCCTTGATTTATTTTACGTAACCTGTTGGGTTTTTTTTAAAGACAACAACACATTCAATTTTGGGTAGTCTAGTACTTGGGACACACTGTTTATAACTATGAACTTTGCTTTCAAAATCATCAAATTTTGATTACTGTAATACAGCGTTGTGCTCAACTAGAGGAAAATTTCAAATGTACTTACCTCCTAGCTGAGTCTGAAATTGCAACAAGGCTGTAAGATCATCGAGCTCTTCTGTGAACACTCATCTATACAACATGTAGCTAATTAAATTCAAGACCTACAAATATTTTAAGTTTCAAGTACGCCTCTACAAAGTGAAAAAAATCTTCTACTGAAAATATTCCCTGTATATGCAAACTAACATTAAACCATTCACTCCTCACAGTACGTTAAAATCACTTCTACTTCCGATAGTGCTCTGCACTTCCTGGATATTTTTGAAGACATGATTGAATATGCAATCATCTCCAGTTGTAGTTTTAAAAAAACAAGTAAAATTTTCAGCCTAAAGTTTCACACACTTTAAACCCACCTTCTGAAAATGACAAAGATTTACTTTAAAATTAGTATTTCACATAAAAAGGAGTAAACTACTAGCAAAAAAAAGGTAAGAAATGCCACTTTTATCAAAATGTTTTAGCTCTGCCCTTCTGAACTCTTTACAAGAGATAAATACAGCTGCAATCTATAAGATTGCCACCTTTGTAAGTACTGTACATAGCAGAGGACAGTTACCCAATAACCAGAAAATTTGCTACAAAAATATATTATGTGTTTTGTAACATCTGCAGATAAACAGCAAAAAAAGGCTATTAAAAATGCAGTAAAATGCAGAAAAAACTAGTAGCCTACCATACTAACCATAATGTTACAATAAAGTGCTGTTTGGCTTTGTTTTTTGCCTGTTAAAGTTTCTCTTATCTAGAATTTTAGCTTTCTTCCTAAGTCTTTAAAGTAAGATTTTTTTTTTTTAAAGCCAAATCACCCCTTCTGGAAAGGACCATTGCTAATCTACTCTGGATTAGTCAAACTAAATTCACGGTAAATTAGAGTAAAATGCCCTAAAATGAGCCACTTACTTACTTAACTACCAAGTTTGGTTCTTACACTTGTCCTACCTAGCATCAGCTCAAAAATCTAAAAATTGCAGCCAGAAAACTACCAAGACATCCCCCCCCAGGTTGCATACTTACATTAAAAATGCATCTCTCTTTCATCATTTACTTCAGAACCCCTTTTGCATCTCATCTATTTTCCTCATCAATCACCACTCGTGAATTAAAAGGAACCAGTATTTACATGGAAAGCTGTTTTCCTAGACAAATATTAGTGCAATTTTTTAAAATCGCTGACAATACCGTATTGGTAGCATACAAACTGGTTTTATGATTCTTCTGACTTCCCTACAAGTTGGGATTCTCCCTTAGTCAGTATTTTGCCAAGGACTGCATCATAGTAAGGGCTGAAGACCATTTTGTTGTAGTTGACAAGACGAACATACTTGACAGCAATCTCTTCCAGCTCTCTTTGAATAGGGCCTAATCCTCCAGGAATAGCAGGTAACGATTTCTGGTGACTAGATGCAAGATAATTCTCCAGAAACTTTTCAATTCGAGAATCTGGAAAAATTGGACCAAGGGGTTTGGTTCGTTTTCAAAAGAGACAGTCGATTAGAAATAGCGTAATCTCATGTAAAATACAGAAAGCCTCAACATAGTAAACAAGTAGTTGAAACATTAAATGAGAAACCACGCCATGACATGCCACCAACAGTTTTACAAAGACAGACGAGCGGTCACTCGAGAAGAGAGCATTTTCGTCAAAGCATACCTATTAGCTTGGATATGGTGTTATCCGGATTGGCCGCTGCTTGGATTTGTCCTTTAAGTCCAGTCTCTCTCTCAGCTGAGAATGGTGCAAACCCATGCTGGGAAAGGCAGCTGTTAACTTCAGCACACACCTTTTCACCGATGGTGGCCAAAGATTCCTGCAGGTTAAAGGAGCTAGAGAATGTGGAGTAGAGCATTACTTAGCTATATTAGTTATTCACTTTTTTCCCACCTTTTAAAGAGAAACTATCCAATTATAGTTGCCTTATTTATCAAATGTAATGGAAGACGCGTAATCCAGATAAAGCCAGAACTATAAAGAATAATACATTTTATATATATGAAAAATAAAGTTGAGGTATAAAACAAGGAGGTAGGATAGCATTAACGATTTCCAGCCTGAACAATCCATACAAGTAAGAGCCGACTTTCTGCCTACACAGACAGCTCTGACTAATGCAAAAAACTGTTATCAACCCAGAATGTGCACAGCAATCATTCTAAATCTAAATGTAAATACAGTAAGCAAGCAGCTTACCGTACCACACAAATTCTCAAGGGAGCCTGGCCCAAACTGTAAGCATGGTTAGCTGCTTGCACTCTCATGTGCCAACGAGGCATCATGAAAAACATACTCTGAAGAAAGGAGCATGTACGTATCGGAAAAGAACAGAGCAAGAAAAGACGGTTCTGTCTGAGTAAGCTGAATAAAAATTGTCAGCCTGGGCTCATAAAAAGCCCTCATCCCTTCCTCTACACGATCTGCAGTCCACAGCCAGAGAGAAGCTTAAACTGATTATTTACTCGAGTGAAAACAGAACTACACCTGCCTCTGTGTGACCAGGATTATTCAATACTCACGGAAGATGCATTCCTGTCAGCAGCACCTTGACAATGGTTTTGATTTTCTCAGCAAACCCAGGCATATCAACGAGTGCTGAGCCTGCTGCACTGAACGTGACCAGAAGGACAGTCCCAGTCAAGAGGAGCTGCTCCAGCTCCAGCTGTATTTCCTGAAAGCGGGTCTGGTCCATCAGCACTGTCTGCAAAGAATGAGGAAGGCAGCACGGAATGAAGTCAGAATGCTGGGCTGTGAAGTGACACTGTGGTGCCTACCTATTCACAGCAGTGAAGATAAGACAAAGACACAGAAAAGAGCAACGCATGCTCAGCAGGTGAGTAACAGGAACAAAATGAAAAGAATTAACTCCTCTTTTCCAACTAAGTATGTTTCAATACTGAAAAAGAAGTACCTATTAGAAGAGCTACAAGAGCTCTCAATCAAGAGATAATGTTTTAGTATTGTACTTGTTGCAAGGCTACAAAACCAAACACCTCCTGTTACATCCCAGAAACAGAAAAGCAGAACAAACACAGAAATCAATTTTTCTGTTAAATACCTACTTCTGGAAAAGGCCTGTTTACATGATCCCACTTTAGGAGCTTCAGATAGGCCTGATTTTGTACAGCAGTGGAGCACAAGGCGGAAGCTCCACCAGTGGCACCATCACCACTACAGTGGGGAGGCAACATTTTACATCTCAGCTTTGCAAGATCATCTGCTGCTTCTTGTAACCACCTTGTGACAAGGTCTAAAGAATCTGGAAGAGCAGGGAAAAAAAAAGCTGGTTAAGAAAATTCCTTTTCAAAGTTAGGTTTTTCCACCAATAGTTTCCAAACAATCCCATTAGTTACTATTGCTAATACCCATGATATCAGTTATTGACATGCATTTCATTTATTGCATTAAGCAGAACGTCTAAAACAGAATTAAAACACCACACAGCTACAGGAAATTGGAGGTGAGATGATGCTAGCTAAGTATGCCCTACACGGTATTGAAATGAAACTAAACTCCAGAGTACAAAGTGCAGAACTGTTGTTCCGGCAGATTTTTTCAAACCACAGTTTTGGGGCACAAGCTGTCATTTACCACATGAATTCTAGAACTTAACAAAAAATCTGATTTCTTTTCAGGATCTACAAGCGAAGACACGCAGTTTACTGGGAGGTCAGAGGGGAAGAAAGAAAGGAACAAAGTCATACTTGGCTGTTTCTCAAGAAACTCCTGAAACTTCTTTCTTTCATATTCAGCAGACTGCTGCATTAATTTTGGCCTAATACTACTGACAGCGAAGTTTGCCATATCCATTTTCATTAGGTCTAATACAGAGAAAATTGCTCTAAACAAACAAACAGAAAAAGTTATTCAAGGCTGCGGATGTTTAAGAGGTACTATTTACAAGATTTATTACAGATTGTCTAAGGAAAGAGCAAAAACATGCATGGGAAACATTAACAGGGTGCTTAACAATTTAAGGACATGAGACAGAGAGAAAGCTTGAGCAGGCATCTACATGCATGCATGTGCCTCTTCCAAGTAGGAAATAAAACTTGCTCTCCTGTAAAAAAGCCTCCATGGAATTAACTTTACTAGCTCCATAGATTATATTTCCCAGGATGTGCAATATCATATGTTGAATACATAAAAAGACATCTGGATTTCCAAGCTTGCATACTATCTCTGTTGGCAGCCTATAAAGCCAGCCTCAGTGGGAAGTGAATAATCAGACCCAAGGGGGAAAAAAAAGAAAAGAAAAGAAAAAAAAAGAAAAACACCTTAATTTCAAAGCAACCTAATTCCTGCTGGCAATATTTCTGCCATGTCAATCCTGAACTCTTGGAAGGTCACCAAATTAGAAAACAACAAGGTTAATAAAATTTCTTCTAACTATTGAGACCTTGAGCTGTTCAACGGAGAACATGGTGACAAAGCAGAAGCCTCTGTGCTCCCAGACGTGGTGTGTACACTCCCTTTAGAACTGAAAGGATATTATACAGGGAGTGGGTGGGGGGTAAAAAGAGCTCAAATTGGGGGGACAGGAAGAACTGGTTGGAGAACAATAATACCTTTTTCCTATGCTCCTGCTTGCTTTTTTTCCCCTTCTGCTGTCGATATTAAATTCTGATACGAACTGACCATTCACCTGCTATCTTAAGGCTTATATGCATTTGGCATTTAAGAAAGTGTCCTTCAGTGACATGCAGGAGCCAGACAAATACTCCAGTTCACCAGAACAAAGAAGGTCCTTGTTAAAGACTTCTAGAGCATTTCTCCCCTTCACACCCACAACTATATCCCTTTTCCTATCATTCTTTTTTTCTACAAAGGTTTACAGGTTGCTCTGCTGGAATGCCCCCCCCCCCCCCGGCCCCCCACCCTCATCCCCATCTAAAATTATTTAAGGGACTCTCAACAATGACTAATAATACCATTTCAGTACCTGAACAGAGGAACTATTTCATTAATATCTTTCAGTTTCTTAATTTCTTCATCTCGAGCTGGAGCACAGAGAGTCCCCATCATCCCAATAACAAATTCGACCAACTTAGAAATGTCAAGGGCGCCATTCTCTGCCTCCTGTTTTATCAAATCCAGATCAAGAACTTCTGTAATCTGGCTTCTCAGTCTAGTATGACCAGGCAACAAGAAGGACAGGAGATTCTGAAATGGAAAGTTTTTAACAGTGCATTAGTTCTACATATCAAAGACTACAAGGATCAAAACAGTTACTGAACCACTTTTTATTTAAACTAATTGCCCTTTACAAGTGGAATCTCTTTTTCTTCTTTTTTTTTTTACCCAACTATTCACCAACTCCAAGTGTTTCACCTCATTCTGCACGGTGCTGAAGTTACTAAGTGGTAAATGCTCTGTAGTACAGATCGTACTTAAGACTATTGTACTGGGTTTTGTCAGCCCAGTGTTGGGGCATCTCATTGATTCCGTAACTAATACCACTGTCATAACATGAAGGAAGCTTGGAATTATGAAACTAGTATTACTTAACTTTTATTTATCTTACACGGTTTTGCATTTGTTTTTAGATTCAAATTTCTCCTCTGGGGTTATACAACTTATGTATGTTCACAGACAATGATATAGTAATGAAAAAGTTCAAGGGAGTCCTTTATGAAAAGCCAAACTTCAACCACTTTTGCCCATTCATATCAATGCAGCTACACAAATTCAGTAAGTTACCTTGATATCACATCATCTTACCTCTTTAATTTCTCCCAACAGTTTAATTGCATGGTCATATGTCGGTGGATCTTCCTTTAGCTGAGCTTCCAGACAATCCCAGAAAGCTTTATGCACAATATCTCTTACTTTTTTTTCTAAGCTGTGAGTAAATATGACCAGTTAAAAAAAGCAATACTTGTCTCTGCACCACCTTACATAGATAACCTGCAGCTCCTGAAGAACAGCATGTAATAATATGAATATAATGTAATAATGAATATATGGCAATTAATAGAGAAGAGATCTGCCATTTTAAGTTACTCAGAAAAGCAAGAAAAACCAGACACAGGATTTGGAATGGCTTATATCCTAATAAAGGGTTACACACAAGCAAAGGCAGCTACAAATTAAACTTCTTGAAAGTATCTATCACATGCTACCTCTAAAGTAAACAACGGGAAGAAAAAAAAGGAAATCACAGAGATTACTGGTCTTTTGAAGACAAGCTGTATTCATGTTCCTTTCAAAAGCCTTAAGGAAATGCAATTCTACTAAGTAAAATTCATTAAGTAAACCTAACAGAAACGAAGTAACTTCCCTGACACAAAAGCTTCTGCATTTCAACACACAAATATTGCAACTACTCTGAGACAAAGGCCCAGTTCAGTTTGTGCAAAAAAATAAATGAATTCCACTGCTTCAGTACCAATTCCTAATTCAAAATACTGAAAGTCACTCCTCTTCAGCAGGCAGGCTCCTGTCCACACCAGGTTTAACTTCAACACCGAAGAAGTAAAACGCTCACATGTACACACACACACACAAAGTGCCCACAACAAACACCAGACTCCCAAGGCTCCGACTCCACGTGCAGCTGAGGTTCAGGCAGCGCCCAGAGGCACTTAGGCCCTGTGGCCCTCTAAGACTAGCCAACATGTGCTCTACTGACAGCGCATACAACTGCAAATACAGTCACAACCACTTGTCTACGCTTACGTTCAAGCTGCAGGGGACTCTAAGCTATACACACACACACAAAACATTTAATCCAAGGAAGATTCCAGAATCCCTCTTCAAGCAAAATAAGAAGGACTGCTCTTTCTTTTCGAGGTGGTAAATAGCTGCACACAAATCGCTCACAAAAGCCAAATACAGGGATCCTGTACTAAAGCAGGCCTGGCCCATCACAAAGCCCAAGCACTCCCGGCAAGGTGACCTCTGCAGTACATCTGCTTCTGTGATCAGGTGAAGAGATGCAAATCAGCCACTCTGGAAACTACAGCCACTGCTCAGCATCAGTGAGCAAAAGCATCCAACTTTCCAAAGTACAGCATAGGTCCCCAGCTCTTTCTCTCCTTTTGCTTTTTTTTTTTTTTTTTTTTTTTT